TGGGTAGCATCGCGCCAATTTCACAGTCCTGTGTGCATTTTACCAGGGTAAGCGTCGCGCCCAATTTACAGTCTGCTTGTAGCAATTGTACGCAGGGTAAAAGTCGCGCAATGAGCAGTCTGTGTGCGTACCAGGGTGACATCGCGCCAATTACAGTCGTGTGTGCAATTTCCCAGGGTAGCATCGCGCGAATCTATACAGGTCTGTTAGTGCGTTACCAGGGTAGAAGCATCGCGCCAATTTACAGTCTGTGTGCATTACCAGCCGGTCAACTCGCGCCAATTTACGTCTGTGTGCTGGTTACCAGGGCGGGGCGCGGTCAACATCGGCGCATTTACACGTCTGTGTGCACTTTACCGCCGGTAACATCGGCGCAAATGTTCACAGTCTGTTGCGCGGTTTAGCCAGCCGGGGCGTACATCGCGCGAATTACAGTCGGTGTGCATTTACCAGGTAACATCGCCGGCCACTTTACAGTCTTGTGTGCGACTACCAGCGGTAAGCAGCGCGGCAAATTTACGATCTGTGTGCGTTTACCAGTGGGTACATCGCGCCAGATTTACAGTCTGTGTGATGTTACCAGGTGAACATCGCGCCGATTTACGTCTGTGTGCATTTACCGGGTAACATCGCCGCCAATTTACAGTCTTGTGCGCCCTCTACCAGGCGCTGGTACATCGCGCAATTTACAGTCTGTGTGGTTTTCACCAGTGTAACAGTCGCACAATTCTCAGATCCTGTGCTGTCGGCTATTCACAGCTGGTGAACGATGCCACGCATTTACAGTCTAGTCGCTGCGTTTTATCCGAGTGATAACCATCGCACCAATTTCTACGTCTGTGTGCGTTTCCAGGGTGTAATCATCGCGCCAATTTACAGTCTGTGTGCATTTACCAGCGGTGACATCGCGCCAATTTTACAGTCTTGCTGTGGCGTGTGATACCAGGGTAACCATCGCGCCAATTTACAGTCTGTGTGCGGTTCAGCTGTAACATCGCCACACTTTACAGTGCTGTGTGCGTTCACAGTGCTCAACATCGCGCCCAATTTACAGTCTGTGTGCGTTTACCAGGTACTCGCGCCAATGTTACAGTCTGTGTTGCGTTTACCAGGGTAACATCGCCGCCAATTATACAGTCTGTGTCGGCGTTTACCAGGGCGTAACATCGCCGGCCATTTTTCGAGTCTGTGTGCGTTACCAGGTGTAACATCGCCGCAATTTACCATTCTGTGTGCGTTCCAGGGTAACATCGCGGGCAATTTACAGTCTGTGTGCATTTACGAGGTACATCGCCCCCCCGCAATTTACAGTGCTGTGTGCATTTTACCAGCGGTAAAGATCGCAGGGCCAATTTACAGTTCTGTGTGCGTTTTACGCGAGGGTTAACATCGCCGTGGCCAATTTACAGTCTGTGTGCATTTACCGACGGTAACATCGCGCCAATTTGACAGTCTGCTGTGCAGGTTTACCACAGGGTAACTATCGCGCCAATTTACAGTCGGTGTGCGTCTTACCAGTGTAACAGTCGCACAATTTCGCAGTCCTGTGTTGCGTTTACCAGTGTAACATCGCGCCAATTTACAGTCTGGTGCGTTGTACCAGGGTACATGCGGCATTTACAGTCTGGTGTGCGTTTCAGTGTAACCATCGCGCCAGATTTACAGTCTGGTGTGCGTTTACGCAGTGTAACTTCGCGCCATTACAAGTCGTGTGCGTTTCAGGGTAACTCGCGCCAATTTACAGTCTGTGTGCGATTTACCATGTACATTGCACCATTTACAGTCTGTGTTGCGTTTACCGGTGAACAGTCGCGCCAATTTACTTCTGTGTGGCTTTACCAGGGCTATACATCGCACCGAATTTACAGTCTGTGTGGTGGTTACCAGGGCGGCGGGGGCTGCCGCGCGGCGGGGCGGGCGCCTAACTCCACAATTTACAGTCTGTGTGCGTATTACAGTGTAACATCGCCCACCCAATTTACGTCTGTGTGCGTTTACCAGTGAACATCGCGGCCAATTTACAGTCTGTGTGCATTTACCTTGTTTTTAGAACCGCGAATTTAGGTCTGTGTGGCGTTGGTTGCTGGCGCTCAATTGGTTGGTGATTACCAGGGTATACGATCGCCGCCAGATTACAGTCTGTGGTGGCGTTACCAGGTAACACCCACAATACAGTGGTTACCAGTGTAAGTTTTTTGTGCGCCAATTTACAGCGTGTGCGACAGTGGTAACATCGCGGCATTACATTACCAGGGTAACATCGCGCAATTTACAGCTCTGTGTGCGTTTACAGGGATAACCATCGCGCCGAATTTACAGTCTGTGTGCGTTTACAGTGTCAACTCGCGCCATTTTACAGTCTGTGTGCGTTTACCAGGGTACATCGCGCCAATTTCGTCTGTGTGCATTTTACCAGGGTAACATCGCGCCAATTCTACGCAGTCTGTGTGCGTTTCCAGTGTAACAATCGCGGCAATTTACATCTTGGTGTGCGTTTACCAGCGTACATCGCGCCAATTTCAGTCTGTGGTGCGTTTACCAGTGTAACATCGCGGCCAATTTACAGTCTGTATGCGCTTACGCAGGTGTAAACTCGCCACCAATTTACAGTTTGTGGTGCGTTTTACCAGTGTAACATCGCCGCCATTATACATCTGTGTGCGCTTTACCAGTAACATCGCGCCAATTTACACGTCTGTGTGCGTTTACCAGTGGTTCATCGCCACAATTTACAGTCTGTGTGCGTTTAACAGGGTAACATCGCGCCAATTTACAGCTCTGTGTGCGGGCTTTACCAGTGAAACATCCACAATTTTACAGTCTTGTGCGTTTACAGTGCCTAACTCGGCAATTTACAGTCTGTGTTTGCCGTTTACCAGGCGTTAACATCGCGCACATTTACAGTCTGTGTGGCGTTTACCAGTGTAACATCCCGCCAATTACAGTCTGTGTAGCGTTTACCAGGGTAACATCGCGCCAATTTTTCAGTCTGTTGTGCGTTTTACCAGGTAACATCGCGCCAATTTAACAGTCTGTGTGCGTTTACCAGTGACATTCGCGCCCAATTTACAGTCTGTGTGCGTTTACCAGCGGTACATCGCGCCAATTTACAGTCTGTGATGCGTTTACGCAGCGTAACATCGCGCAATATTACAGTCTGTGTGCGTTTCACAGTGTTAACATCGCGCCAATTACAGTCTGTGTGCGTTTACCAGGGTAACATTCCACCAATTTACGTCTGTGTGCGTTTACAGTGCTAAACATCGCGCCAATTTACAGTCTGCTTGTGCGTTTACCAGGGGCTATACATCGCCCGCCAATTTACAGTCTGTGCTGCGTTACCGTCGTACATCGCACCAATTTACCAGTCTGTGTGCGGTTTACCAGAGGTAACTATCTGCACCAATTTAACAGTCGTGGCTGCGCTTTACCAGGGTACATCGACAATTTACAGCTGTTGTGCGTTTACCAGTGTAAAAACATCGCCGCCAATTTACAGTCTGTGTGCGTTTACCAAGGGTAACATCGCGGCAATTTACAGCTATGGTGCGCGTTTACCAGTGTAACATCGCCGCCAATTTACAGTCTGTGTGCGTTTACAGTGTAAAATCGCCGCCAATTTACAGTCTGCTGTGCGTTTACCAGGGTAACATTCGCACAATCTTACAGTCTGTGTTGCGTTATACCAGGGTAACATCGCGCCAAATTTACAGTCTGTGTGCGTTTACCAGTGCTAACATCGCGCAATTATACAGTACTGTGTGCGTTACCAGGGATAACATCGCGCCATTTTACGTCTGTGTGCGTCTTACCATTGTAACATCGCACCCAAGATTTTTACAGTCTGTGTGCGTTTACCAGGCGTAACATCGCCCACAATTTACAGTCTTGTGTTGCGTTACCAGCGGTACATCGCACCATTTTCGTCTGTGATGCGTTTACCAGGGTACATCGCTGCCAATTTACAGTCTGTGTGCGTTTAACCAGGGTACATCGCGCCAATGTACAGTCTGTGCTTGGTTTACCAGCTGTAACATCGCGCCAATTTACCAGTCTGTGTGCCGGTTTACAGTGTAACATCGCGCCAATTTACAGTCCTATGTGCGTTTACCAGGGTAACATTGGGGCCGCTTCTACCTGACGTCGGACACGCCTGAAACCCGTGCTGCCCCCTTCCTGCTCCGCCGACGTTTGTAGCTGAGCGCAGTCGAATCGTGCAATCAGAGGTGCCGCATGGGCGACAAGGAAGAAGAAGCTGGCGTCCATCAGCCAGCACCGCCACTCTCGTACGTACGCGCCTTCCGCGATCGTCTCCTCGTTGTCCGGTAATACTTGTCGTGCTCACGGCGGCCTGCTCGTTGTACATTAATAATTTCATACGTTGTATCCGCTAAATATTAATAACTGATAATTAATAATATTAATAATAAAATACGTGCACGTACGACAGCACCCGCTCCTGGTATCAGGCGCACCACCCCCAGAGCAACAGCCTCGCTGGCCTTACTGCGTGCCCCCGCCCTGACACACGTCTCGCTAACGTACCGCTCGCGCTGGGTCCGCCCACACTGCTTCGCGCGTAGCTCGCGTCGTCCGCCCACACCTGCCGTCGCTCCGTAACGCCTCGCGTTGTGTCCGCCCCAACACCTGCTCCGCGCGGTTACGCTCGCCGTGTCCGCCCACAAAACCTGCTCAAGACGCGTACCGCCTCGCGCCCGTGCCGTACGTAGCCGTCACGTTTATTATTTAATATATGATTATCATTAATTTAATATTACGGACTCACACACGGCGTTAAATTATTTAATGACACGAGCAGGGCGCGCGTCGAGCACGACAGCAGTATTTACGCCGTAGCAACGAGGAGACCCGACGCGCGGGAGGCGCGATCACGATACTGAGCGGTGGCCGGTGCTGCTGATGCGACGCCAGGCTTCTTCTTCGCTTAGGGTTTCCTGCTCCCACCGTCGTCCCCCACTCCCACAACGCCTGCGCCTCCATGCCCATCGGCCTTCGCAACGAGTTCCGACTCGGCTCAGCTACACTCTACAGAGCCCTGGTTGTCGCGCCGCCCACAAACGCTGGGTATCGCGGCGCGAGCGTTAAACGGCTCGCGTCGGTGCCGCGCCAGCGCAACAGCACGCGTGTGTTCTCGACGCTGCGTGGCGCCTCGCGTGTCCGGCCCCACACTAGCTCGCGCGTTTACCGCTCGCGTGCTCCGACCTCACCCAGTCTGTATCCGTCATGCAGTCACTCAGCCCATCAGTCCAGCCCATCATAGTCCCCGCGATAACCGTTCCCCGTCCGCGGTGGCACAGGTCGCCGCCAGGTCGCTCCAACCCAGTCCGCAGGTGCCGCCGTGCCATGGCGCCGTCTTTTCGGGTCGCCCAAGGTGGCGACGTCCGCGCCTAAATACAACGTCGCTTGTCCGCTCGGTGGGCACGGCCGTCCTCGCTGCGCTCCGACGTCAGCGTGGTAAAACGCACGGTCGTCGCCGCGCCCCAATGTTTACCCTGCCCGTAAAACGCACACAGCACTGTAAATTGGCGCGGAGTGTTTCCGGCGGCCGAGACTCGGTAGCAACTCAAGACAACTCAAGATGCTCCGTGACACTCTCGCGCGCGATCGTTACACTCAGCACGTCAAACAGCCACATCTAGACTGAAAGTTGGGCGCCGATGTTACCCTTCGGCGCCGTGTAAGAATCGCTTCACACAGGAGTGTGTCACCTAGTCCTGCACACTCTGGCCGCGATGTTACGTAACACGCCATGTCCGCAATTTTTTTCTTTTTATTTTTGTCAACGTCCGCTTTTGGGTTTAACTTGGCACGGTCCGACCCGGCTCTTGCTTATCTTTTTTTCTTTTTTTCGGTTTCTCCTTTGTCTTTTTTGAGTAACACGTCGTCCGGTGGCCACGTCCCAAAGGTAAAACAGTCGTCCGCGGCTGGCGCTTCGTCCGCGTGGCGCCTGTTTGCGGCTTGCACTGGCCCCGCCACCTGGTCAAAACGGGCATAAACAGCCAGCATCGTAAGATTGGTCCGCGGCCGATGTTACCCCTGGTAAACGCACACAGACTGTAAATGTGTGCGATGTTACCCTTGTAAACGCACACAGACATGTTAGGAATTTGGGCACCTGTCTGCGTCCGCTGTTACATCTTGTGGTAAACGCCACACAGACTGTAAATTGTGTGTCAACTTCGTCGCCGGATGTTACCTTGGTAACGCCACACAGCACTGTAAATTGGCGCGATGTTACACTGCCTAAACGCACACGGACTGTAAATTGGCCGCCGATGTTACGCCTGTCGCGGTAACGCCACACAGACTGTGTAGAATTGCGTGCCGATGTTACCCTCGACGTAAACGACACACGACTGTAAAATTGGCGCGATTTTGACACTGGTAACACGCACACAGACTGGTAAATTCTGCGCGCGATCGTTACACTGCACGTAAACCGCACACAGACTGTAAATTGGCGGCGATGTTACCCATCGTAAACGCACACAGGACTGACTGAAATTGGCGCGCGCGGGTGATCGTTACCGCACCTGGTAGGACTGGGCACGACTGCCGTCCCTGGTAATTGGTGCGATGTTACCATGGTAACCTGCAGCGCACAGACTGTAAATTGGTGCGCATTGGGCGTCGATGTGTCCCCCTCCGACCCCGTAACACGCACACAGACTGTCAAATTTGGCGGTGCGATTGTTTACACTGGTAAACGCCAACACAGCACTGATAAATTGTCGGCGCGGTTCCCGCGATGTTACCCTGGTAAACGCACACAGACTCGTAATTTGCGGCGCCGGTGGAGTCGCGCTGTCACCATGCAGTAACGCACACCAGACTGTAAATTGGGTCGGCACGTCGTCCGCCTGTGGCACTGTCCGCAGGTCGCACGTCGGTCCGCGGTGACGACGTCGTCCGCGGTGGCACCTACCGCGCCGGGTAAGCACGTCGCGTCGTCCGCTGGTGGCGTCCACGGTGGCCACGTCGTCCGCGGTGGCACGTTCCGCGTAGTTGGCACCGTCGTCCGCGGGTTGACACGTCGGTCGCGAGTGGCCGTCGTCCGCGCGTAACACGTTCTGTCCGCGGGTGTCCTGGCACGTCTGATTTCGCGGTGGCGCCCGTCCGCGGCTGCGCGGTCCGCCGATGGCACGTCGTCCGCGGTGGCACGTCCGCCGATGCGTTGGTAACACGTCTCCGCAGGTGGCACGGTCCGGCGGTGCCCGGTCCGCGTGCACGTCGGTCCGCGGTGTGGCACTGTCCGCTGGAGTGGCACGTCGCGCTCGGCCGTTTGGCGCTTTGTCCGCCAAGGTGCGCCTGTCCGCGGTGGCACGCGTCGTCCGCGGTGGCACGTCCGCGGTGGCACGTCCGCGGTGGCACGTCTGCGGTGGCACGTTTGCGGTGGTGGGGAGAAGGGAGGAGAAAAGGAACAGAAGCAATGGGAAGGAGGAGAAGTTACATTGTTGTTGTTGTTGTTGACAGTCTCCCAGCAGGAGGAGGAAGGCGGTGAAGCCATACAAGTTTCTCTCAGCGACAGCGTCCGTCTCTCCGTCCAACTCGTCGCGCTTCAGCGCAGGAATCCCGAGTCCCAACTCGTCAGGGGGCGCCAGCAGCATTCCGATGTTCTACCAGCGCCGCATGGCCTCCAGCTACAGCGTAGACAACTTTCACCTCGGTGCGTGTGCATCCCTGTCGGGCCCCACAATTAGCGAAGGTTTGAAATTTATTAGGGAATCAAGGCAGTATCCCTTTCGGCCCCCAAGGGGGGGGGAAGGTTCGAAACTTATCAGGGAATCGAGGTAACATCCTCTTCAGGCCTCACAGAAGGGTAAGCGTGGGTTGAAAACTCCGGCGACCTTCATCACAATCTTCATCACGCGTGGATGTTTCTCATCGCCGTTCGCGCTTGCAGGTGCGGAATCCAAGTCACATTCCCCATCGCACCACCTCTGGCTGCCGACCTCAGCGCCCTCTATATGGACCAGTCCGTCGCGCCACGGCAGACCTCCGACGAGGTACGGTGCGTGTAATGTCACGCATAGTTATTATTTATTATTGTACATATAATATATATATATATATATATATATATATATATATATATATATCAGGAGAATATCAAAGAGATTGAGTTGAGAGATGAGTTGGGTTTGGAGATTATTTACTCCCATTATTATATAAATATGTATATATGTATATGTATATAGTCTTATATATATGTAGTTGAATGTATGTGACTACTTGATTCCAAGATAATGTAAATAATATATATATAACAATATAATATATAATATATGTATAATTATAAAGAGTAATATGTAACTCCGAGAAAGTCATGCCGATAGAGGGGGACAGCATGACATCATCTACCGACCTTGTGACCTCGTGACCTCACGCGTCGTCTGCCCCCGCAGGTCGCCCGTGTTACGTCGCGGCGCCGCGTTGCCGGGTGGGGCGTCGCCGGGCGGGGCGTTGCCGGGCGGGGCGGCGGCGTCCGGCGGACAGATGCTCACGCCGCGCAAGTCTTCGACGCTGTCGAGTACGTCACGTAGCAGCACACTGACCCCCGACCCGTCGCCCCGCGCCCCGGTGAGTAGTGTTACCCGTCGCCCCGGTGAGTAGTGTTACCCGTTGCCCCGGTGAGTAGTGTTACCCGTCGCCCCGGTGAGTAGTGTTACCCGTCGCCCCGGTGAGTAGTGTTACCCGTTGCCCCGGTGAGTAGTGTTACCCGTCGCCCCGGTGAGTAGTGTTACCCATTGCTCTGGACCTGATTAAATAACAGATGCACAGCTCAGCCTCTCTCTCTCTTTCTCTCTCTCTCTCTCTCTCTTCCTCTCTCGCTCTCTCTCGCTCTTTCTCTCTCTCTCTCTCTCTCTCTTTCCCATATGTGTGTGGAGAGGAGACACGAGATTCTAACCCCCTCTCTCTCTCTCTCACCGTGTTTTCTAGGAGGTTGTCGATGCGTCCAAGTCGAATTCTGACACTCTGTCGAACGAATCACAGAAGAAGGTGGAACAGCCGTCCGCGACTAACAATGGTGAGTGCCCACACATCCTCATCATCGCATTCTCATCACATCATCATCATCATCATCATCATCATCATCCTCATCATCATCATCATCATCTTCATCATCATCTTCTATATCGCCATCATCATCATCATCATCATCATCATCATCTTCATCATCATCTTCCATATTGCCATCATCATCATCATCATCATCATCATCATCATCCTCATCTTTTATATCACCATCCTTGTCCTCATCCCCATCCTTATCCTGGTTCCTATCTATCCTCGTCGTCCTCCTCTCCATCATCACTTCCTCAGCATCCTCATCATCACGTTCTCATTGCGCAGTACCACCACGACCAATTTTTGCAGACGAACTCTGCCCCTTGTTACCATGACGACAGACTCTTGCATATGCACTCTGCCCCTCGTTACCACGACAACCAACTCTTGCAGACGAACTCTGCCATGTGCTGAAGAAGATATCGCTGGAGCGCTACCAGCCGATCTTTGAGGAGCAGGAGGTTGACCTGGAGGCCTTCCTCACGCTTACCGACGCGGACCTGACAGAGATCGGCATCACTCAGCGCGACCCACGGCAACGCATCCTCCGCGCCATCGCAGAGCTGCAGAACGGCAAGGTAACGACGGCGGCAGCGGCGCACGCACACGAAGCTTCCTTACAGATTGTCACGTGTTAGTTACTGTCCAGCGAATAATTCTTCAATATTACGAATTGTGACGAGATTGTTCTACTGTGGACTCACATTCATCTCCTCCTCACCACCTCCCCCACTCCCCCGGCGCCATCTAGATGTTAACAAACGAAACAACACCTCATACCCCGACGTTAATGACGGACACCGTCTCCCTCTAGCCCCGTCGCCGCACTCAATGACAGGCACAATCTCCCCCCTCCCGCCGTCTGCGCAACTCCTCCCGGCGCCACCTACATATAACCGACGGGCACAAAACTCGCCCGCCACCGTCACCGCCGCTCACCCGGCGCCACCTATATGTTCGCGATGGGCATGAATTCCTTGACGCGTCCTCCATCTCCCTCCGACACGAATCTCTTCCTGCCGCGATCCAGGTTCCTCCTCAGCAAGGCGTCCGTGATGACGCCGGCGGATGCGCAGGCCGCCGCGAACCTCTCCACGTGCGCGCTGGCGTTCGGAACGTCGAGGCACAGGTCCGGCAGCTCATCGACGACGCGGTGGAAGCCGGTCGCCATCTGCACGGGCGTGATGGTGACGGAGTCGTAGAGCGACTTCAGCAGCGCGGCCATCATCGTGGAGCTGCGTTCTCCGCCATCCTCAACCACGGTCACGATCGCCTCGTACACGAGCTCGTGATGGAAGTGAGGCACCTGGTGGGGGGCGAGAGAAAACACAAGAACGTTACAAACGACGTCGATAGACGTTTTATTATTGCTACCTCGAGGAGAAGGGGAGAAAACACTCAAGAACGTTGTTAAAAAAAAGTAATGAAAAAATCAATATACAATGGGGGGGGGGGGTGCGGACTCGACTACAACACTGTTGTGAATTAACAACCATGTTGCATTCATACATTCATTGCAGTATTGCTGCCATCAAAATGTATATATTTTAGTGTTCCGTACTGCTTCTTGCAAGTTCTATTGCTAGATTGTGTAAATAGTCATGATTCTATTGCATATTAAAAAAAAAAAATTGAAGGATTTATGACGAATAAAGCTTTTTTTATACATATTTTGTTTCATGTAACAACATGTACCACTACAAAATTAAACGGTCGCCGCATAAGACAAAACATAATTATATCGCCTCATTATTAAGAAGAGAGGTAAGAGTCGAGACTTAAAAATTATTCAAGAAAACAACTAACATATAATTATATACAACTGGCCAAACGCCTACCGACTGCGTGCACCGGAACTTTGAACGTTTCAATAATAAAATGAGGGTAAACAAACCCGTAACGTATTTATACTCTCTACGCCAAGTGCTTGTGACTTCATTGATCACAAAATTAATACTGTACTAAGCATTTTATGGATGCCCACTTGAAACTGCGAACGCGCGCACTCGAAACTCCTCCGCACTCCTTCCAAAATGTACCGCTATTTCGGTGGCGGCGCAACCATCCAATGACAATTGAAAATGTTTTATTAAAATCATATATATATATACGCCTAGTGAGAGCCCGAAACGGGCATTACACAGAATAATAATGTAGTACAAATATCTATCGCTATAAAGTTCATAGATCATCTTGTGTTCAAATTATTTAGTCTTCGTTCACTTTTTCTTTCATACTGTTTGATTCTCTTTATGTTGAAGCATTCACAAGTTGTATGCACAAGACCTCTCTACTCCTGTCTGTTGTCTACAACATTCCTCCACTGATCAAGAATATTACCACACCTCAGAGCACCTTTGCAGGTATTCTTATATCTCAATTTAGGACAACCAACAGATCGGGATCCATTTGCTAGCTCGCTGTATAAGAGTGCCTTTGCTGGTCTGTCATTATCCATTCTACAGATGTGGCCAAACAAACGCAGACGACTTCTAACTAGCTTTAACTCGATGTCTTCAACACCCGCTCTGTTCAGGACCTCCTCGTTACTGATGTAATGATCCCATTTAATATGCATGATTAAGCGCAGGTGACGTTGTTGCATTGTTCTCAGTTGTCGAACTTGATGATGGTACAGAGTCCAGGTTTCACTGCCGTACATCAGAAGTGGCATAAGACACTGGTTGTAGACTTTGATTTTAGTGTTTATTGTAAGGTCACGTAAGTTGAACACTCTTTGACGTAGTCGACCAAAAGCACATGATGTTGCTTGGATACGAGCTGCAAGTTCCTCCTTCATCGAGCAGTCATTTGTTACATAGCTGCCAAGGTATTTGAAGCGGGTGACGTTCGCCAACTTTAGCTGCTGCTGACTGGACGCCCTAAGGCGAGCTGGTGCTGAATCGATCGCGCCAACGCGTGTAACATGTATACACTGTATAACAGCTGGCTCGCTGCTGGCTACACACACACACGAACACACACACGAGAGCGATCACATTACCTCCCTGCAACTCCGCTGCGCGGAGGTAATTACAACATACACGTGGGATGTGTGTTTCAGGGCAAGGAGAGACAGCTGATGCATGACACAGTGAAGAACTTCCATCTTGCGGACGCGGCGGCGGCCGCGACGACAACGAGATGTAAGATGAAGACTGACGACAGCTGCGACGGTAGGTGGCGGAGGGGAGTAACAACATTAGTCTAAATATTAGTCTTAACACTAACATTTTCTCACGGACCTTCGACAGAAACACGGTGAATTTACCGTTTCTCGTACGCAGGAACTAGAATATTTCCCGGAACATATATCCTGCTTATATTTATCGTCACTCGTCCACTAACGCGGCTGCGATGTCGTTTCAGGCGACGAGGAGGCGGCGGCATCAGCGGCAACAGCGACCGAAAGCGTCCCTCAGAGCGGCAAGACAAGGTCGTCCTAGCCAAGGTCGTCCTAGCAGCTTCAAGGTCAGAGGGGTCGTGACCTTACGAACCCCCGTCATTCAACGCGTGCCTTACCAACTATCTCATCACTCTGACGGGAATCGTCCCGTTTTAAGGGACGGCCTGGATTTACACGACGGACCAGCGGGAGAGTTTTACCGCGCGTCGTCCGTCGTACCCGAGACGAGATCGCGGGAGAATCAACGAACGCTGCTTGGTTCTGGATCAGGTCGCGGGAGAATCAACGAACGCTGCTTGGTTCTGGATCAGGTCGTGGGAGAGCATTGATTGATCGCGAGAGATGAGCCAACGACGTCGCGATAGGAATGCCACGGTTTTGCGTGGCGATCGCGCTCTCATTACGCCGTGCGCTTCCCGCTCGCATCGCTCATGCCATCTATGGTCAGAACAACGAATCTCTGTAGACCGTTAATCTTTATTTTATGTTGCCGACGATGAATATCTCTCACGGAAAAACTTGCGATGCCGACAGTTCAGTAGAAATGCCTAGTAGGGGCTGCGAACGATCAACAGGCTCAGTGTTTGTGTAGGAAGTTGTGCTTATCACAGACCACCCAAGGTTGTGCTTAGCATATTCGCGATGTGGCAAGTGGATTTTGCATAGTTACGGATTATCTAGTCATTCTTGGGTTTTTGTGCGTAGGTCACCAACGTCTCATAATATTTTGCGTCCCATCTCTCGATCTCCAATCCTCACGATTTGCTGTTTACAGCATGCAGGTGTTTTTTTCTCCCGAAATGTAAATTTGTTTTGGCGATGCAGTGCGGTAGGTAGAAGTGTCCAGTTTCGCAATCCTTGTAGTGCATGATGATTTAAGTGTCTATTCGAATGGCAACTGCTAGTAGTAGTGATGAGTGTAAGGAATAGTGATGAGTGTGTGTCAGGTGCAGCAGTGAAACAGTTTCCCTGACAGATTCTAGTCACAGATTCAAGTTCATTTCAGCCCGACAATGATGATGCTGCTGCTGCTGCTGCTGCTGCTGCTGCTACTGCTGTTGGTGCTTTTGTCGAATTGTTGAAGTGTGCATGTCTCGGATGTAAATACTTTTTTGACAATTAAAACACATCTAAAACTAAACATTCTCTAACAGAGATTGATTATAGTTGAACGTTTATGAAAAAAGACCAAGCTGGACCTCGGATACATGTGTGCGTGCGTGTAACACTGTATACATACAATATATATACATATGTATATATATATATACATATAGGTCATTCCATCGGGTTGGGGAACAGTGCGTATGCAGCACTGTATCACAAGTTGCTTTTAAGATTCATTCACAGACATTTTTTCATTAACCTGTAGCTTGTCTCAAAGAGGCAACCCTACACTTCAAAACAAGACCAAACTTCACTGCATTGGACAAAATTTCACTGTTACAAAAGGCCGACAAATGATGGTGTCGGGAGTTGTATTTGTAACAAAATGTGTGGCACATGCAAGCTAGCAGATTACTGTGCTTTGTGTAAGACAACATTACAGCTTTGCTTCTTTTACAGGTGTCAGCTAACATGCCAACCCAACGGATGTCAGCACGAGAACACGAGGGCTAGGGCCACACACGTCGGTACGAATTTTGTTCCAATGCCTCATTATTCGCATGCAAGTTGTTCCAAGTCCAAAATTCCAACGTAAACGTGGTGGAAAATTGCAGCGCGTGTCTGTCGTCTAAAACGTTTTTTGCCCGCTCGTGGTAAACTTCCGCTCATAAGGTCTATGTACCTCAGGGTACTGCCGGAACGTACCCTGGTAACTATCTGATATGGTTAGGGTTAGGGAGTAGGCGTAGGCAACTCCCTAGACTCGTTAATGGAGTAGGCGAGGTATGGTCAGGCATATTAGATAGTACCAGGGTACGTTCCGGTATACCGGACCGTACCCAGGGTACGTTCCGGCAGTACCCCGGGGTACATAGACCCTCTCAGCGTAACTTCCAGTGTCTCCATTTCTGCGCAAGTGACGCACTCATGGCGCCGCTCACCCAGACTCTGCCTCACATGCCTGCCTACATTCTGTGGTAGACAGCAGCAGTAGGCACTCCATGGGTGGATGAACACAAGGTTGCATAGAGCAGGGACGCCCCGCAACAGGAGAAGTGGCAGGCATGTGATTGGTGATTGACATTGATGGTCGCTTATCAAGCACAACATTACCGATGCATCCGCAATACAGTTCTAATTGAATGTCGTGAAATATGGAATTTGTGAATCAGTGTTGTAGGTCTCGAGGCCGGTCTTGGCCTCGAGACCGGCCTCGAGACCGTTTTCCTTGGTCTCGGTCTCGGTCTTGGCCTCGGAGTGCAATGACTCGGACTCGGACTCGGACTCGAGCCCTCCGGACTCGAGGACTCGGGTCGAGGCCGGCTCGAGGCCACTACATACATAGTACACAACTGTACATATTGTAACACTCAGTTTACAAGAATTAAAAACTAAAACTCTTAGGTTTTCTAGATACACGGCCTAATCTTGTAACGTTTTCAATATGGCTCAATTAATAAGACTAGCTATTACCCGTCCTCCAGACGGCATGAGTGGGGTCTGATTAGAGGATGGTGGTTTAACCATTTATCTCTCACTTTTAGTTGAGGATGTATTTACAGTAAACGAAAAATACTGATATTTAAACTCGAGTCATATATCAATATTTTACCTTAAAATTACCAATTTGATGGTACAATTTCACTTATTTAGATATTATTTTTGAAAATATTCTGGTTAGAAGCATCATTAATAAGTCAAATTCTTAAAAAAAAGCAAAATGCATTGAGTAGTTTTGAAGATCTATTTTCTTGAAAGTCAGTGGGTGGCGGCGGGCAGGGTTACACCTCCCGTTGTCAAATATTTGCACACACGCACGCACGCACACACATCACACACACGCGCGCACGCACGCACACACCGCATTCACACACACACATACACGCACACGCACATGCACACGCACACGCACACACACGCACATGCACACGCACACACACGCATACATACATAAATACATACATACATACATACATACATGCATGCATGCATACATACATACATACATACATACATACATACATACATACATACATACATACATACATCATCACCATCATCATCATCTTCACCTCCAGCTCCAGCAGGCAGCGCGTTGCCTCGATGATGTCTCCTGACGACAGGTACTCCTTCAGCAGCAGCACCATCTTCTTAACGAGCAGCTTGACGGGGCGGATGCCACCGCCGACGCCCCACACGTTGTCGAGCCTCACGAATCCGTGCTTCATGCTCAGCAGCACCTCCGCTCGCTCCAGCGCCTGGCTCGCCGCGCCGTTGTCCGCGTGGCCGGCGTACGCATGAACGTAGCGTGGCGGCAGGCAGTCGTCGGCGACGCAGCGAGCCATGAAGTTGCCAAGGACGACGGCCGCATCGGGCGTGTCGAGCGTCAGGTCGGGCAGGTCGTTCTGCAGCTTGTCGAACGCGTCGACGACGTCGTTGATGGATAGCGCGATGCCGTACAGGTCGGCGATGACGCGCGACGCCAGCTCACGCTGCATCGCCTTGCGATCCATCGCCATGGAGATGATCTTGTAAACGATCTCGCAGCGTGTCTTCCCGAAGTTGAGGTCGTCGAAGGACATGACGACGTCGTGGGTGTCTCCGTGCTCGAAGTACTCCTTCACGACCTCCTCAACCTCACGATGAGTCTCGTCCGCGGTCAGCTCCGGCTGTAGCTCCTTGACGACGACCCCGCGCCTCGCCTTCCCGCCCTCGTCCTCACCAGAGTCGTAGTTGGGGTCGCGCGAGTCGTTCGTCGCCGCCTCGCTTCCCAGCTCGCACCCGGGCTTTCCCCACGTGCCCTTCCCGCCGGCGCCGCCTTTCTTCGCGAGGCCGCGGCCCTTCCCCATGCGGCTCTTGCGGTCATGTGCGTGGCGCGCGGCGCGGCTCATCTGCGACACGCTGGGCATGTTTTCTGGGACGGGCGTCCCCGCGAGGCCCATCTCCAGCTTCGCGAGGAACTTGGACGTGTGCTTCGCCTTGCGACGCAGACGGTCGGGGTGGACAAAGTCGGCGGCCGCCGCGCCGCTCGCGTCGCCGCCGCCCCCTACCTCCGCGCCGCCGTCCACTGCCGTGTCCTCGATCATCTCCTCCACCTCAAAGTTCTGCTTGTTTCCGTCGCTCGCCATCCTTCGTCCGTCCGTACGTACGTCCGCTTCTTCTTCCAGTGACTCCTAGGTGGCGCTGCTGGGCTCTTGTGCGCCGCTACTGGCACTGCAAACCTTCACGCCCACTCGCTCGTGAGAGAGAAAGGGAATACCCCGTGGGGAGCTTAGAGGGGGGTAGGGAACACAGCAAAGGCGAGAGAGACGCTAACGCGAGAGAAGCTCCTAGTCTCCTCTTGCAGCGTGCGTGGGGGTCAGTGGTGCATCGGCAGGTGACGGGAGCAAGTGGAGAGGAGAGGGTCGTGCTGCGTGGCGTGGCGTGGCGTGGCGTGGCGTGGCGTGGCGTGGCGTGGCGTGGCGTGGCGTGGCGTGGCGTGTCTAGTAGGCGACCTTCGGCTGCTGCGTCATCAGCTGTCCGAAACGCTTCTTGATGGTGACCCTGTGTCGTGAGTACTTGTCGTCGGGGGAGAACCGAGCTGAAAGCACGGAAATAAAGAAGGGGGTGAGAGAGAGAGAGAGAGAGAGAGAGAGAGAGAGAAAGAGGGGGATAGAGAGAGAGAGAGAGCATCGCTTCAGAGAGAGAGAGCGAGCCGAGAGAGAGAGGAGAGGAGAAAGAGAGAGTAGAGAGAGAGAGAGAGAGAGAGAGAGAGAGAGAGAGAGAGAGAGAGAGAGGAGAGAGAGAGAGAGAGAGAGATAAAGAGAGAGAGAGAAAAGCGAGAGAGGAGAGGGAGAGAGAGAGGAGAGAGAGTGAGTGTGTGTGTGTGTGTGGTGTGTTGGTGTGAGAGAGAGCGAGAGAGAGAGAGAGAGAGAAAGAGAGAGAGATGAGAGAGGAGAGAGAGAGAGTAGATAGAGAGAGAGAGAGAGAGAGCTGAGAGGCGAGAGCGAGAGAGAGAGACGGTTTACTACTGTTACCATTAACCCCAATCGACTTTCAAAAACAAAAAGAGAAGTAAAAAAAACAGATGAAGGACAGACAAAAATAAAGAATTTTTTATTTTTTATTATTGTTTATTTTTTGTTTTATTTTATTCAAAAACCAAAAAAAAATAAAAAGAGAACAGACACACCCGAACCCAAAAAAAAACAGGCCAACAGTATGCTCGGTCGGCGCTCGCTGCGCGCGCGCGCCGCGCGCGCGCCGCGGCGCGCGCGCGCGCCGCGCGCAGCGCGCGCGCGCGGCGCGCGCGCGCGCGCGCGCGCGCGCCCGCGCGCGCGCGCGCTCCCCGCGCGCGCGCCGCGCGCCGCGCGCGGGCGCGCGCCGCGCGCGCGCGCGCGCGCGCGCGCCGCGCCGCGCGCCGCGCGCGCGCCGGCGCGCGCGCGCGCGCGCGCCGCCTGCGCGCGCGCGCGCCGCCGCGCGCGCGCGCGCGCGCGCGCGCGCGCGCGCGCGCGCCGCGCGCGCGCGCGCGCGCGCGCGCGCGCGCGCGCCGCGCGCGCGCGCGCGCGCGCGCGCGCGCGCGCGCGCCGCGCGCGCGCGCGCGCCGGGCTCGCCTTCCCCGCCCGGCCCTTGGCCGTCGGGTGCCCCTCTCCTCGCCGTCCCCCCGCCCCTCCCCCCGCCCGCCGGCCGTCCCCCTGCCTTGGGCCCCTTTTGTGTCTTGGCCGTCGGTGCCTTTCCTCTCCTGCCCTCGTTTTGTTTTTTCGTCGCCTCGCCCCCGTGCGCGTGCGTGCTGTCTTGCCCTGCTGCGCTCCCCGGCGCTCGTCGCCGGCCCGGGCCTCCCTCCCAGCCCTCGCTCTTCTGTGCTCCGTGCTCGGCGGGCCTCGTCCCCTTTCTTGTTCCTGTCCTCCCTTGCCGCGGTGGGTCCCGGGGTCCGTGTTATGGTGTCCCGCTTCCTGGGGCCTCTTGGTTTTGTCCATTCCCCCTCCCGCCCGCCGCTCGTTGCTGTCCTCCTTTCTGTTCTGAGTTTCCCTCTTCTTTCCCTCCCGTGCCTTGGTGCGCTTCTGTCTCCCTTTGCCGCGTTGCCTTGGTGCCTTTCTCTTTTCGCGCCCTTCCGGGCTTTCTCCCCTGCCCTCCCCCCTGCCCTTGCCCTCTCGTACGCTTCCTTCGGCTCATGCGCGCGCCCTCCCTCGCCGCGCGTTCCCCTTTGCTCCCCCGCCGTCCCGCCGGGTTCCTCTCCCCCTCGCTTGCTCCTCCTGTTTTCGTCTCCTTCGCTGGTGCGCCCTCTGGGTTGGCGCCCTGGCTGCTCCGTATTTCTGCCACCCCCCCGTTCCCCCCCCTCCCCCTGCCCTCGCCTCTTTGCCCCCTTTCCGCCGCCCCTCTGCCGCCGGAGGGCTGTCTGTTTCCGCGCCGCTGTCCTCCTCTGTCCCTTCCCCCTCCCTGTCCCTTTCGCCCCCCGCTCCGCGTCCCCCGTGCCGGCGCGCGACCGCGCTCCTCTCCCCGTCCCCGTGCGGTGGCCTCTGTCGTCGCGTGGTGGGCTTCCTCGTCCCCCTGTTCGTCCCCCTGTGTTTCCCCTCCACGCCGCCCCCGTGGCCTGCCCCCGGGCTGGTCTACACACCGGCCCCTTCATCCCCGGCCTGTTCGTTGGGCTCGTTCTGCCCCGTTGCCCCGCGCGTGGCGCCGTCCCGTTTCAGTGTCTTCCTTCCCGCTGGCCGCTTCTCCGTCGTGCCCCCACTCTTTGCCGCCCGGGGGCCGTTGTCCGCCCCCCCTTCGTCCGCGGCCTTCGTCTTTCCCCTTCCCCTTCCCCGCTCGTCCCCCGTTGCGCCCGCACCCTCGTCCGCGTTCTCGCGCCCGCACCCTCACTTGCCATCTCCTCCTCCCCTTGTCCGCCGCTCCGCCCCTCTCGTCCCTTCCTCTCCCGTTGCCCCTCCCCCCTTTCCCCCGTCCGACCTTCCCCTTCTCGTCCTCTTCCACTTTTCTCTCATGCCTCCCCTGTGTGTTTTCTTCGCCCCACGTCCCCCTTCCTTCCTTCTCTCGCAGCTCTCCCCCCCCCCCTCCCTTTCCCCCCTGGCGTCTGGCCCGGCTCCCCCTCCCTTTTTTTTTCCGTGGTCCCGCTCGGGCCCCCCCCTCCTTGCTTTTCCCTTTTTGGTGGCCCGCCCCTGCCCTCTGGTGGCCCGCCCCCCCCCCAGCCCCCATTCGTCCCTTTTTCTTCTCCCGTCCTTCGCCGTTCGCGTGGCGCCCCGTGTCCGCGCTCCCGCCCCCCTCTTCATCGGTCCGTCCTTTCCCCCCGTTCACTGGCCCCGCGTCGTTCCTCGCCCGTTTTTTCCAGCCCCTTTTCTCGTTCCCGTCTTTCCTCTCCTTTCTCCCCGTTCTTTCTGCGCCTACTTCCGTTCCTCCCTCCCTCCCTGCGCCCCCCCGCGACCTCTCCGCCTCCTCCCCACGTCCCTCTTTCGTGTTTTGTTTTTTCCTTCCTCCCCTCTCCCTTGCCGCTCCACGGCACCCGTTGTCCCCTCCCGGCCCTTGCGGCCGTCGGTTCCCCCTGTTCCCCGCCCGTTGTCCCGCTTCTCCCCCCGCGTCTTTCCGCCTCCTTCCTCCGCTCTCTTTCTTCTCGCCCTCGCCTGCCCGCTTGCCGTCTAGTTGCCCATCTGGTCTCTTCGTTCCCCCTGCCCCGTCCCCCCCCTCGCCCGTCGTCCTCCCCCCCCTCCCTTACTGCCTGCGTGCCTGCTTTGCCCCTGGCCCCCCCCCCCCCCCCCGTCGGCCCTCTCCTACGCGCGCCCTCCCCTGCGCCTCTGCCTGTTCCTGGTCTTCCCGTTGCTCGCCGGCCGCTGCGCGCTTTGCTGCTGCCGCTGGCCGCTGCCCTGACCCTCCCCCGGCCTCGCTTCCGGTTTTCGTGCCGCTTTTCTTGCCCCCCCTTCGTGTTTGTCTTGCGCTCCCTGCCCCTGCCCTCCCTCCCTTGCCCCCGCCCCCCGCTGCCTGCCTGCTTCTGCTGTTGCCCCTCTCTTCAAGTTTTCTCCGTCTGCTTGCCCCCTTGCGTGTTGTTCCTTTTTGGCGTCCCCTGATCCCTGCTGTGCTTCCCGTTATCCTCCCTCTGTTCCCGCCTGCTTCTTTGTTCGCTCCACCCCTCGCCTCCACCTGTCCCCCTTCCGCGTCCCCCTGCCGCGGTCCTTTTATCTGGCCCCTGCTGGCCCTGCCTTTCCTGCCGTCTCGCTTTCCACTCTTTTTTCCCCCGGGGGCCGCCTGCCCCGCCCCCCCCTCGTGTTGCCTCGTGCCCTGCGGGCCTCCGCTGCACTCCCCCTCCCCCCCCCTCGGCCGCGCCGGCGTGTGATTTTTCGCGGCGGGTCGACCGGCGGCGCTTCGCCTGCCTTTTTCCCCCCCGGCCTGATCCCCTTTTTCCTCATTTGTTTCCTCGCTCCGCCCGCCGTCCTCGGTCTTCTTCCTGTCCTCCTCGCCCGTGTGTCGCCCGGTCCTCTGCCTCTTGCTCGGTCTTCTCCTGTTCTCCTTGCGTGTGTCGCCGGCACTTTCTGTCTCTTTGCTCGGTATCCTCCTGTTCTCCTCGCCCGTTGTGTCGCCGTCTTCTTATCGGTCCTCCACCACTGCTCTTCCTGTTTTGTCTTCTGTCCCCCATGTCCACCTCCATTGGTCCCTCCCCTGTCGTCAGGTCCCGTCTTTTGGCTGCTTGGGTGGCCCGCCGGTCCCGTGTTTCGCCCTTTCCTTCCGTGCCGGCCTGTTTTCCCTCTTCGTCTTGTCTCTTCTTTGCCCCTTGGGGCCGTCTATGCCCTCTGCACCCGTCTTTCCCCCCCCGCCCCCCTGGCACCCCCTGCCCTTGCTGACTTGCGGCCCTACCTTTGCCTTCTCCCTTCCCCGGCCTCCCCTTTTCCCCCGTCTCTTGCCTCCCCTTTCTCCTCGTTCCTCCTTTTTCTCTCCCCGGCGCGTCTCACCCCCTTCCGTGGCTTGTTGCAGCCGCCGTCGCCGCTCGCTCCCCCGTGCCCGGCGTCGCCGTGCTGGCCTGGTGCGTGCCGTGTGCCGATCGCTCCGCGCCTTGCTCGCCTCTCTTTGCTGCGCTTCGCCCGTCCGCCCACTTCTTTTTTCTCCCCCTCGCCCTGCCCTTTTTCGTGGGCTTCGCTCGGGACAGCCCTCTTTTCCCTATTTGGCCCTTTTGGTGGCCCGCCCTGGCCTTTTGGTGGCCCCGGGCCACCGGGCCCCGCTCGTGGTCGCGGCCTGGCGTCTGGACTTTGTTCTCTTGTTCTCCCGGTTTTCCCCCGCTTGCCCCGCTTCTCGCGGCGTTGGCGTCCCGTGTGCGCCTGTCTTGTGTGCCGCCTTATTCCTGCGCCCCGTCGTTTTTCCTGCCCCTCTTCTTTATCTGTGGTTCGCCCTCATCCTATTCATCCCTTCCTTTCTGTACCTCCTGCTGTCTGACTTTGACCTTTTGTGCTTGTTCTCCTCCACTCCGCCCGCCTTGGTGCTGCAGTTCTGTTCTGCGTCT